CTATGCAGAGTTCCTCCGAATTAATCAACTATAAGTACTTTAAGTAAATATAATTTTTCTTATGATTTTAAAATTAATCTCATTTAAAATTGTATTCTTGTGATAAAGTATAGGATAACACGCATTATGATTTTTATCAGTACAGATGATAACAGTTGTTGTTCTTTTCGTAGAAAACGTGGCAATGGAATAATATGATCCAACCATGTAATATTTTATCTCAAATACTAAATAAACTTTGCTTAGTTGCTTAATATGTATAAAATAATAAATATCTGATGGCTACCTTTTTCCTAAACTGAAATGAACCTGCTGCATATTTTGATGCAGTTTGTTATCTACAACTATATACTGTACAACTGCGTAGTAGAATATAATAACGATTTTTAGTGCATATTTTGGAATATTTGGTAGGGATTTGGTAATCAATAAATCAATATTATCAAACTTATGTTAATGTCTTAAAACAAATTTCGTAAGTAGGTAGGTAAATAATTGTAAAAAAAAAATACTTAATGTGGTTTATTTCGAAAATCTATGAATAGTTATCATAGGTAATTATATTGATTAATTTTGTCATTCATACACGATAAAAATAAATATCTAATAAATAAACAACTTTTTACAACTTTTATTTTTAATAATTTTCTATATGTATAGCAAAAAGTAAATATTCCACTTTTTGGTTTGGCCAACAAGGGAAGAGTACAACTTTTTTCAAAAACGGTGATGCCCGATCCAAACAGCTGGTACCTATATATTTCAGTATATTTAATACTATTTAAAAAGTATTTATTTTTTAATTCCTCATTTGAACTACAGATATAATCAGTTCATTAAAAATCTTTCTATTACAAACTGTTTAAGAAATTTGCAATTGCTTAATAAAAAAGTAACTATTAATATAATTTTTAACGTTTTCCAATATTAAATGTATTACTTTATATCATAAAAATAACAATTTCCAATTCAATATCATATATTCATATAATCGTGTGTAGTTATACCTCCACTTGTAACTATTTTTTAGAAATGCTTTTAGTTTTTGTTGAATCATGAAAAATAAATAACAGCGTCACGATATTATTTTCAAATATGTCATAATATCTTTCTTTTCTATACGTTTAATAAGTAAAATACATTATACTGATTGCATTTTGGATAAACAATACTTTGTTTGTGATGACATATCATTATAGTGATTGGGCACCATTTATATGATGTGTAAAAATTATAATTTACTCTCCTACTCTATTCGTTTTTCATTCGTTATGGTTTTCTGAAAATATTGAATTTGCTTAAAATATTATGAACACTGAAGTTGTAAACCTTGAATTCATAAGTATAGAGAAAAAATTACATAGCTGAAGGTGGGTATAAATGCAACTATATACAATTTGTGTTTGATTCATCTTACATAATATCCTAGTTTTTGTTTTTTAAAACGTATTTGATAACAAATCTTATTTGACTTCCTATTTTAGTTAGTAAGTAGAGTTGGCAGGTATAGGTCATTATAATTATTAACTTATACGTGCAGAAACATATGAAATGTGTTTTATACAAATTATTCTTGGACGTTAAGCTGATAACGATTGTATCTCGTAGAAGTTTGTTATTTTAATTTAATGTTTATTTAACCCTAAAAAAAATATTTTTTGTAATATAAATCAAGGTTGAGAGTGCTAATTAAATCGTACTCTACGAGTATATTTTTTTCTTTAAAACTTATGTGGCATAAAGTATGAATTTCGATAAATTATTGCGTTTCACCAAATCCTTGGGAACAATATTTTACTCCTCGATTTCACTGTTTTTATTATTTTCGGCTTCGAGGCTTACGATATTAGAAGCGAAACGTTATACGAAACGTTAATTTTTGTACGTGACTTATCAGTCGAATAGGATGTTATCTTCTACAGCATTTTCTATGCGATATATATGCATCTTACAATTGTACGTGTTATTTTAGTTATGTCCATTCAATAATCGCATATGTAGTAGGTATAAATTTACTTATAAATGTCTATATTTTTTACCCCAATTTCTATATCATGTCTTTCCAAACCCCGTTTTAATCGATGAATTATATGAAAAAGTAGTCGTGTATATTTAACTACGATAGATTGTAAAAACACGTGGTAATATTTTAAGTTCACCTAAACCATTTAAGTACACTGGAATTGCAGATCTACGAGGTATGATCAAAATGTGTCTGGATTTTTAAATAAAACTTAATTGATACAATATTATTTTAAATAGGTGTTATACGTTTAAATTAAAAATCTCTTTGAGAGGCAATATCCAATACTAGTTCCTTTCGCGCCTTTGAAAACTTTTGTGTGATGGAATTCCGATTTTGTCGTTGTACATTGTTTAAGAGATGGTAGTCAAATTTCGTTTCGATTCATATCCAATCTTTTGTTAATATATTTCGACCAAAAACCATAAAATATTCCATTTATTATTGATCTAACCTAACAGTTAATAAACGGTTATATTCACGAACACAAACTACTGTTTCGTTTGTTTTATAAGTTAGTCTACCTGGTTTATTGTCTCTTATGGTCTACGTTTAAGTTACCAAACCTTACACAAACCCTAACTTCCCGCACATGTTCAATACAGGTTGTCAGAAACAGAATGTCATCTCCAAAATATTGCTGTAAAATTCTAAAAGTCTTGTTACAATTTGTTCCTACACTAAATACATATTATAGATACATACTCAATACCAAAGGTGTATAGTTTCAGTAAGTTTTTATGTAACATTATTAAATAGGATTTAAGTTATTTTCTTATGCCAGATAAATTACTTCATGATCTTATTTACATATCCAGATGAGTAAAGATCTTACTGATGATGATCCGATTATTTTTGAATAAACTTGACACATATTGTATTATGTATCTCGTACATTTTTAAAATATTATAATAGACCTTTATATGTAATACATCCGTTATTTGCAACTTTATTAAATCGTCATTTAGATATTGTGTGTAATATATTATATTGATTTGATATAAATATCTTACTCATGAGTACGTTTTACCTAAGAAAAGGGTAGTAACTCATAACATTGATTTAACCTTTTTATTACGGTCAACAAAAAAAGTTAAGCAGGTACCTGAAAAAAAAATAAATTGATTTTCAGAAAAAAATTCAAAGTTTATTAAAATTAAAAGTTTTAAAATCTAGAATGAGTATATACTTTTGAATGTTTGTATTATATTTCTTTAAATTATTTAAAAATTATGATACAACGCTATTCGTTTAGGATGTATATAATAACTGTTGATACAAAAAACAAAAATCATTTTCAAAAAAGAATAAATCTCGTACTTCTTTTATTTTTAGATATAGTTATTTATTTACTTATTTGTAAGCCAATCCAAAATCCAAGGAATTTATTTAGTTACAAAACCTAAATAATGTTTAATTGTTACATTATGAACAACATTAATTCCCAACTTCGCATACTCGGCAGATGAATATACATACTATGATGTCGTAAGTATCGTATACTACCGTTTAATGTTTCATTGCTGTCAACTAAAAAGTGCATAAATATAGATTTGATATTTTTATATTTATTTACTTACCTTTATAATTAAATTATTAGATGAAATGTTGCTTTAAAAAAAATCTGGAATTATGTATGTGTGGTGCAAGTATGCTGTGTGGGACATTGCCCCTTGGTTCCTATACTGTGTCCAACCCTATAATACGCGTATATAATGTGTATATATATATATGTGAAACTCATTAGTCTTATAACACATTTTTTGTTGATTTGGCACGTTGCCTTATTTACATAATATATTTTCAAGTATTAAAAATAATTTATTCATAATACAGGAAACAAAAAATAATATCTGATTAATTGCTATTAATTTCGTTTTAGATTAAAATACAATTAAATTATTGCAAATTAAATCTTTCAAAAGATAAGATACCTATTCATTTTAATTTAATTTTTTTATCTTATAGTTATAAACATTGAAAACGTATAAATTTAAGGTAATTCATTGTGAATTATTGCCGTGTAAAGATGAAAATAATTCTAGTTGTGAGTTTTATAGGAATGACATAAATTTTACATTTCTATATGAACTCATATTATAACTTTGAATGAAATCCAATTATGGAAGTGCTATTTCACATATCCCACGAAATACTATACTTAATCTTTTCATCCCTTGGGTCGTAGAGCAGTGATAGATTTAGGGTTTAGGTTTCCAGAACCTCAGGTGGTGGGTAACCTAATTTGCGGTTAAAATTGGATTGAATTCTGAATTATACGCGAATTGCTGTAAGGCCACGTAGGCAGGCACTGCAGTTTTATTATATGAGAACGTTTTCGATAGGTCTAAGCAAATAAATTAGGCACGAGAAGGATTTGGTAAATGTTTAATTCGAAAAACGCTGCCAACACAGAGACGGTTGTTAAAAAAACAACAAACAAACTACTGCCGACCAAAAGAAAATAGAGCTTGCTGACCGACCGTTAAAACTTGACGATTTTGACTGGTATTATATTATATTATTATTATTATTATGACAAATAAACGATCGTCTAATAATAGCGTGTCGTGTTATTATTTGTCGCTGACCGTCTGCCGGGCCGCGGGCGTCAATAAAAAATCAGTAACAATAACAATTATTGTATTATTATAATAATATAATTATTTTATTAACGTAAGGCCTCCGCCGGTCCGCCGCCACACCTTCAGCGAACGACGGCGACGGTCCGCACGTGCGCTACCGGCACCTGCAGCCGAGGTGGCGGTGGAGTCTTCGGGCGCCACCGGGAGCGTGCGCGCGCCCCTCGACCGGCCCTGCCCCGTCACCGACTGGGATCGGAGCGCGCGCCGGCCGGCCAGACGACAAGTTGTAGCTGCCGTAACGCGGCCGCCGCGGCGGGCCCACACCCACCCGGCCCGGAGCGGCGTGCGCGCGCGAGCGAGAGCGCCGACAACCGGGAGTGGCAGTGTGTGTGCGCGCGCGGTGGTGTGCGCCAGGCAGCTGCGTGTGTGCGTGCGTGTGTGCGCGAGAGTTTTGTGCGCGTCCGCTACGGTGCTCGCCGGCTGCTGCCGCTCTGCCGCTCGCTCGCCGCTACCGCTCGCTATATAGTCGCCGCCGCCGCCGCCGCCCGATCGTCTCCGCGCGTGTGCTTGACGTGGTGCGTGTGCGTGCGAGCTTGCCCGTTCCGCCGGCAGAGCGAGAGAGACGCGAGATCGAGAGAAGGAGCGAACGAGCGAGACGGAGCTTGTGAGCGACTGAGACAGAGCGAGCGCGCGCGCGCGCGCCTCCGCCGCCGCCGCCGCCACCGTCTCAGTGTGTGTGTGTGTGCGTGCGTCGCCGGAGTGACTCTATTCGCCGGCCGGCCGCCCTCAGTTACGCGCGCGTATAGATAATAATAGTAATAATAATAATTATTATAATATATTTTTTTTTCGAATACCTATAATAAATTATATTCTGTTATCAATCTGTTGTGATTAATTTTTTTCCGCTCATATTGTTCCTGCTCCCATCCGATCGTTACGGCAACCGCGGCTGTCACGACTGCCATCACGGGATGCGATAATATAGACTCGGGATAACGATATTATTTTCGCCGCCGCCGTCCCGTTTCGCCGACCGATCGGTCGACCGCCCGACCGCTGTCGTCCCGGTCGTATACGACTAGGCACTACCTCGTCGCTGTCGCCTACACAGTCGACGTCTCCATCATCTTCCGGCGTCACGTGCGTTTCGGTCCGTTCCACGTGCGACGACGACGGTCTACTGCGAGTCTGCAGCGCGCTACTGCCTTATATTAGGACAGTGATTGCCGAGCGGTGGTGTCGTTGGTAGCGGCGGAGGCGGAGGCGGCGGCGGCGGCGGTGGCGGCGACGGCGGTGGTGGCAACAGCGGCTGACTTTTACTCTCGTTCCTACCGGACGGCGGCCGTCTTCTGCTGGTGCAGCTGTCGGCCGGTGGTGTTGACGTCGTCCACGCCATCGTCGTTGTTGTTGTTGTTGTTGTTGTTGTTGTCGTCGTCGTCGTCGTCGTTGTTGTTGTCGCTGTCGTTGTTGTCGTGCACTCTTGCCACCTCCACCGCCGTCGTAGCTTTCGCCGTCGCCAATCCGGGCCCGTCACGCCGACCACTCACGCCGCCGAAGTGATGCAACAACAATGCGGTTTTTGCGCCGCGGTGTCCGACCTTTTCCGGAGGATCATGTGCTTTAACGGCAGTAGGAGGGGCAGCGACCAGTCGTACTATCACGAACTGGACAACGACGACCCTCAGATCGCACTAGTGAGTGGACCTATATCGGTTAAGCGTCTTTGAGTTTTCTCTGTCAGCCCTCCGCACCACCCGCCGTTAATATTATTGCTTACCAATATCGTAACCGTTTTCGTTTTCCGCGTTACCGGAAGTCGTTTACTGCATTCGGCCTGCCGCGTGCATGCGCGTTATTTATTTTATTTTTTTTTTATTCCCCTCAAGTACCTACACGGCTGTTATATTGTGTATATCGTGTGCAATATTATAGCCGTATAGGTACATAGGTACTGTGCGTGTGGTGTGTATTTGAGAGCACGCGATAATTATAAGAATGGGTAATAATAACATATATTATATTGTATACCAAACCTACAGATAATTATTGCACGTGCATGCTATCGAAAACCATATTTGTACACACAAACATCGCTGCTAGAAAAATGTTTAAAAAAAAAAAAAACACTTAAACGTAGGTGATGCCTTATATACGCACATTCGTCTGTGCTGCACACATATATTATGCGTCGTCGCTCGTGCTAAAACGAACATAATATTACAATAATAATATTATACGGTTCGAACGTCGTGTCGTATAACCTCGTTTTTATTTTTTTCAATATTATAATACGTGCCTTGTGTTGCAGTGGAGAACATACGCGCAGGGTTTTAAAAGTATATTTGAGTTTATCGTTTTTTATATTATGTCGCACCGCCGCCGATTGTGTGTGCAGTGCAATATATATATATACACACACACGATATTATTATTATTATTATTATTATACATTATACAGTCTTCGAGAGAAGGGCTATACCGTAAGCCGTTAAAGTTTACTGTTATCGGGTAGCGCCATTCATGAAACTTCGGGGTAGACGTTTTTCGGAGGGCTACTAGTGTGTACTACTATAGTAATATACTCTGCGCTATTGCTAGTATTGTCGGTCAGAGTTTTTTTTATTTTTATTTCTATTATTATTATTATTTTTTCTATCGTTACGCGTTCTTAACGGACTTCGAGAAAACAACATTGTGTACGTGTACGGGTGTGTGTCAGCCGCAGTAAAGGTCAATATATTATTTTTACAATACTCTTCTTTCCGGACGGTCATCGGCCAAATGAATGCACATAGGTGCATAATGCAGTAAAAAATATATAGGTATTACTTTTTGTCTTGTACTCATTCATAGATATATATATATGTAATTGAAAATAAATAATAATATATTATTTTACAATATAATACAGCGGGGTTCGAGATAACGTCATGCTTTTCGTATAATTGTAACTCCGAGGCGGTGTACACGTATACGTCATAATATTATTATTTTTATGATTGTCGACGAGGTACAACGACCTCCGAGTCGCGAGTCGATTGTTCCGAGACTTAATATATTATATTTTCGTTTACGCGTATATTGTCGTTTTGTGGTTTTTTTTTTTCAATGATATTATTACGTAGGTAGGTTAGGTACCTACTAAAGGGGTGCTTAAACTGTTGCGAATTCCCGGTTTTTACCCTCTAAACCGTGTCGTTGTTTTGTGGAAATCGTGCACACGCGGCACGCGCAACTAGAAATAATAATCATTTTGACAGAGCACAACAGTCGTATCATATATTATTTGTTTTGTTAGAGATAATCAAAAAAAAAAAAAATCGTATCATCTTGTAAACGCGTTTAATGTGTGAAAAACTAGACTTTCCCGTATCTATCTCTCATAAATCACATATCTACGAGTGTTTGATCTGTAATCATACCTATACTTACCCACGTACCTTACTCACCTACCTATTTTTGTATTAGTTTGCCGTATAATATACTACTTCTTCTTATGCGTGCAGTGTCGTCGTCTGCAGGCATGCCACCTGGGTATTTTAACGCGCTGACCTTTTTAAGGAAATAACTATATTCTACTAGTTCCGTCCTAAAAATATATTATGTATACCTACGATAGGACCAATGTCCGTGTAAGCGTCAACAATTTGTAAATGTTCACTTTGTACCGAAAATGATTTGTACATATAGGTCCAATGCTGCGCGAATAATCTGTATTTACTGTGTCAGTCGAATTGGCGTAGCATTTGAACAACGTGTCATCTCATTAATTGAAGTCTGCACCTATGTATGGGTTAGAAAATTAATAGGGTTGTTTACGTACTCGTGAACCTTTGGTTAACTCAATAAATGGGACGCGTATAGACGGTAATTAGATGCGTTTTCAAAGTACATCGTTAAACTAATTATGCAATGAAATGCTTCCTCTTCCCCCGAAAAAAATATTATGTTCTGGGTGTATCATTATAAATTACCTATTATATTGTATAGTGCACTGTTATACTATTGGTATTATTATGTTATACGTTATAAAGTACCTATTCGTTTCCCGATATTAAGTGATCGAGCCCGTGTATGGAAACAAGTGAACATAATAATATCGACAGCTGACGTGAGGCCACTACATACAGAAATTTGCCTATTCGCTACAAGACTTATATCATATAATATATATATGTATATTTCTTTTATTGTTAACTGCGTATGCCATTTTTGTTTAAGCTTCCTGCAAATGATTTATAAATACAATACACAATTTTCAGGGTGAATACAATGTGATAATTTTAAAGTAATATATAATAATAACAATTTCTTACTTAACAATAATATATTGTACATGAACAATGTTCGGGGAGTTGTCGTACATCCAAAGAGATAGCTCTTTCATTTAATAATACCAGCGAGTTTCTCTATATATTCTGTTACTGGAAAAAAGTCCAAACATCGCATATAGGTATCCGTGTACCTATACTTGTAGCGATTATATTGCTCTACACGCTCGCCGTGTTCGTATTTATTTTTCCGTTTTCCTGCACCTATATGCGCTATTATCATTGTTTACTACTCGTCTACTGGTTGCAGTAATTTAATCTCGACAATTACCGCTGAAGTTCCGCCGCACGTGGTATACCGCGCGTCATAATAATAATAATAATAATAATAATATACGCCACGCGTGCATTTGATAAACGACGATTTAAGTCGGCCAGATTTTTCCACCCTCGCGCCCTCGGAGTATATTATACACCCTTAATCGAATTTCAAAATCTGAGCGAGGACTTAAGCTGATATTAATCGCTAGGCGCCGTTTTACCGTCCCGCCGCCGGCAAAATCATCTCTGGCGCTCCATATAATATACCCATATATTGGCTCAATGAAATACGCGTTGAACACACACACACACACACACACACACACACACACATACACACTGGCGCTTGCGCATACGAGTTTACGTATACGAGAATCCGAGAATTTTTATTCGATATATTTTATATAATATTATTATTATTATTTTTTTTTTTTTACCACCCGTGTCTCTAATGACGTAGGTCGTTAGTGCTGGAGTTGCTCCGTTAACGATTTCACTTTCACGCGTACAACAACAACTATCGTCCGCGTGTGTATCGCAACAACCAGTTCGAACTTTTTATTATTATTTTATTTTTACTCACTATCGCCGCGACTACTCTCACAATTTACCGGTTTATCGATATTCGCAACATACTTTTTTTTTTATCATTATCATTATTATTATTTAATGTATGCGGGTTTGTGTGTGTGTGCGCGCGCGCGCGCAAGGGTCAAATATAATATAATATTATAATTGCATATTATAATATATGTACACGAAAAACCTGCGAATGTACGTCACCGCACGAGAACATCAAGTTGTAGAATTCAGGCGACGGTAGGTTGTAATTAGGTAGTGAACCTACGTGCAGTCGTGTTCAGTCGTCGCAGACATAAAGCGAGTGTCGCGCGTGCGTGGTGCGTTTAATTCTGCCTACCCATATTATGTACTTATATTATGTACCGTTGTTGAAGTGATGGCGTGGTGACGTATATAATATACCCTTAATGTTCCGAGAGTTTTATTTCGTCCCCGGATATAACAGTGACCATTTTCGTTGTTGCCGATACTCGTAGTTATTGGATACATAGGATTATCATCGACAGTGTCCACGATGACAAAACACGATAGTGCTGATCTGGTAAAAAAAAATTCTCAGCCGCTTATCGTATACATTAATATTAATGTATAATACTATTTATGTATAGGCGCATTGCACATGACGTACAACATTGTTACCTATAATTATGTGACATACATTATATTATTATGATAGGTGATTAAAGTATATTTTATAATTACCTAATATACATTATATTTCACGCGATTCTAATGACTATTATGACTGCATAGATACACGATTGTATTTAAATGAACATTTACGCTTGAGAACAATTTGAACTGAAAATGTCGGTAGTATACAACTGTAAGCTTTGATAATACGTATGTGCTTGTGGCAATACTAGGCTTGGCATATATTAGAGCAGTGTATACGACACTTTTGTAAATTAATTTGAAAAGTGCAGTATTTAGCTCAACCACTAAAATTATAATCAGGTCAGAGGACCGTGATGAATAAATGAGTTTAAATGTTAATCGGTACTGTAGGTTTAGAATGTTTAGAGTTTATGTAAATAACAGTTTTTTTTTTTATTATTATTAACCTACAAAGAAATTCTAAGAAGCAAATACTCAGATGAAAAGAATTGTATGTCTTTGTTGTTCAAACCAGCGATTTTCAACCTAGGGGTCGTGAACAAATTATTTAGGGTTGCTTACACATTATGTAGGTCGAGACAAAAAAATTAAAATAACTTTAATCAAGACAACTTCAGAGACTTTATAGGTTAATGCTGGCGGTTTTCGTTTTTAGAATATTTGTTTGATTTTAATATTTGAGTTATCGAAATAACATTATACTTATTATATTTCATCAATTGTTTCCAAGCACTTAAAACCAAAATAATGCACCCATTAACAATCTTTGTAAAAATAATTTCTGTCATTAAAACAAAATAATAACATTACATAAAAAGCATTATAATAGGGTACTACCGTAGTACCATTCATGGTACTTCATAAGGCGGGACCTGTATAGTAATTTTCTTGATTTGTTTCAA